CATATATATATGTTCTTGCACTTGAAAACCATACCAACAATAACCTAATTTCTTGATTTAATTGATCTTTTGAAAGATCGTTATCATATACAAGCCTTTGGAGAGCTTGAATAAATTCATTAACATTAATATCCTTCTTAAGCTTACTTCTAATATTTTTAAAAATATGCCAGATGCATAATAGATGCTTTGCATCAGAAAATACTACCAAAATAGCTATCATAAGTACCAATTTCCTATCACTTATAAATGTCTTCACATGTGAATTTTCTGTTAGAATGATTAGTGTCTTATTCAGTTGTTCTATTATCCAACAATAATAATCTTGCATTTCTGAATATATAAACATAAAAGCCAAAGGATATGTTGACCCTAAATGATCAATACTACAAATGACTACTAACTACATTGAAAATCTGTTAGTTTTGTATGTTGCATCAATAATCAAAATGTCTTTTGCTATAGCGAATTCAAAAACCGAACTACGATATGCCCAGAAAATCACTTAAATAAATTCACCGTCTTGATCACATTCGTTATTATATAAAGGTCGCATTGCAACAGCTGCTATGATATTTTCATCATTATGTAAGGTTTTGAGCAGCATTTTAATTTCACTCAAACCTTGCAATTTTTGTAGACGTTGTTGACTAATAGCATTATATACATTGTGTTTATGTATATATTTTGAGCTGATAGAACTTAGTACTGAAAATATATCTCTAGTTCTTAGTCCATTATCATGAAGCTTTCAATTAAGCCTATGTCATCTTGATCAAGCCTATATACAATATTACTAAATTTTCTGGTATCTGGAAAGATGTCATGATTATGTTCCAAATGCAATTTAGTTATAGCAAACTCCTTGGTATACTTATAGTAATTTACTCTAATAATGAATTGATATTCAGTATGCTTGGTAATATATACTTCTTTAGTTCCATTATATTCTCCTTGTTTTTCGCAAACAAAAGATACTTGTTGATAACTGCCATTAACATTTTTAGTTGTTTTACCTAAAATAATAACAGTATTTGTTTGCATAGCATAGCTTTCAACAGTTGAGCAAACTTTAGCAAATGTAGAAAAAATTTGTTCTTTATTAAAAGTAATAATGCCAGTAGAATTTATATCAAAAAAGAATTGGATAAGTGAATCTAAATCAATAATAAAGTATCGTTAAAAAAAATTTAAGACAGATGCAATGTATAGAACACTAACAAAATAATCATTGTACAAAAATTAGATACCAAAAGTAGAATGCAAAGCAAACTAGGTTAACAGCAACAAAAGTCAGGCCAATGAAAAATAAAAAATGTCAACAAATGAAAATAGAATGCTAAACTAACAAAGAATAGTTAAAGAATAATAAAATAGAAAAGGCAGGTTTAATAAAGAGTAAGACTATGATTACAACAATTAAATAATTAAGTGGAAAATCGTAATTAAAGGGTAGAAAATGATCGACATTTAATAGTAATACGTGACGGGCATTTAATAGTAAAATTTTAATAGCAGTAGAATGGTGAAAGATCATCTCATTAAAAATGTCAAACACCAAAAAATATGAAGTATGACTCATAAATAAAGGGCAAATAAACCTAAATCTTCATTATGGACCATATACTCGGGATTGGTGGATTCAAGATTCAAAAACTTCAAATAATAGCATACTAACTCTTCCTTTTCGTCTTTATATGAATGTAATAACTCAAATAAATGGTTATGATTTTTTTTTATCTATTGTTAATAGGCTCTCAAATCTCTTACAACCAGGTTTTTTGTGTTCTGTTGGAGAAAAAATTAGTGATATACAAGATACTCTTTCAGCCGCTATTAACTTACTATATCAAGAAGTATTTGAAACTAAAACTGCATATTCGGGTTTAGCGGTATTTGGGTTCTACAATGAAAATATTAGATCAGAAATACTTGCTAATATTTTCTTTTTTCCATTATATAT